CGCCCCCCGCCGATGAGCCGCCGAGGAGCGCGGGCGGACGATGGAACTCCACATTCTGGAGCACCGGCTGCAAGTTGCCAGCGTCGCCAAGGAGAGTATCCCGCTCTTCACCTACGGCCTGATCAAACTTGCCTTCCTGTCCTCCAAGACCAGGTGAGCGCGCGGGGACGCGGCGCCGGCCGGGGAGAGACAAAGAGGCGCACCCCGGGCGGCTGTCCTCGCCGCCGCGCCTCGGAAAACAACTTCGGGCCCCCGGAGCGCCCCCGCCCCGCCCCTAGCTCCGACCGCTCGCCCACCTCTGACAAAGCCCACCCGGCCACCTCCCCCAACCCCGGGGGCCTTCCACTCTGACCCCCCACACACACACACCTTGATGCATCCCCCAGCCCTGTGGTTCCTGGCCTCGGCCCCCTCCCGGAAATCTGGAGGGCCGGGGCGGCTGCGGTGACGAATCCGTGAATGAATGAACGAACGAATGAATGAATGAAAAACAGGTGTGGGACGCGGCGGTGGAAAAAACAAACTAACGCCCCCATCCCCCAATCCCTCGGTTGGGCCGGCCCCCATGGCCACGGCGGGGGGAGGGATTCTGCTGAGCGCCGCTACCCTGAGCAGAAAATCGTAAAATCATTAAAGGGTGTTTATCTCAAGGTGCCTGCGAGGGTTGGGGGGAGGGGTGGGCAAGGGCCGAGGAGTGGCCGCGGGCGAGGGTCGCGGTGATCCTTTCTCCTTGGGGTCCTGGAAAGGCGGGGAGGCTGTTTTGCCGAACCGTAGAAGGGGAGGAGCTGGCGTGTTTATGGATCTGCCTTGAGGCTGGGCTTGGATGCTGCAGGGGGAAAAATAGTTGAAGGCCTTGGGAGGTAAAGTGGGGGCGGGGGACTTGGATTTTCCCCCTGCCAGGTAAGGGTTTGACTTTGTGAGTCCCAGTAGGTGGTTGGAGTAGGGTTTTTGTTATGCTTAAGGATCCGGAGCCCAGCAGTGTGTGAGTGCCGGCTCGCTGCTGCAACTTAAGTCCTTTGCTTGCCCACCATTGTGACTGCTGAAAGGGCTGAAGTTGAGGGTTTGGGGCAGTGATGGTTTTCCCTCACTGCAAAATGAATGAATACATTACTAGTCAAGGTTAACGTTAAAATTACAGCATCCCCCTCCTTCTCCCCCCAAGGCTACCCACTTTGGTGCTGAGCTCAAGGGAGTTCAAGGGATGCAAGGAAATAATTCAATCTGAGCCTGATATCTGCCTGTTAAAGTTCTTGCTTGGAAATCTCACTTTGATGTGTGTGTCTGAGTGGGGAGCTCAGTCCAGCTATTGTTTGCGAGATGGAGCCAGATCTGCCAGAGGCATCTTGTTTACTTTCTTCTCTGGGCTGCCTGGTGGGGTTTGGAGGTTTGAAATCCTTGCCTTTGCAGAGCCCAATTGCTCCTTTGATTGCAAAAGGTAATTATTAAACAGACCATTTGAAAACAAAAGCCTACAGCTCAGATTTCTGAACATCTCTCCCAAACACACAAAGCCCCCTCTCGCTCTTGACACCTTCTGATCTTGTATCTACCTGCCCTCTGCCTCCTCCCCTCCCCTCCCCCCAACTCCCTAGCTAGTCTTGAGGTTCCAAGCCTGGAGGTAACAGAACAGACTTGTTTTTCCAACCCTTGGCCCCAGCTCTGGGCAGCCCCCTGGCTGATTTCTCAGCCACCATACAAATGGGAATGATGACTCAGGCTGCGGCTGTGCAGGGACCTAGGTGGTAGGAGGAGAGGGCATTTGGGGGCTTCTTAGACAGGCAGCAAAGGGCAGGCACTGTCTGCCCTCTCCCTTTCTGGAGGGGCTAGCCTTCCAGCTCCCACCCCACGGTCTAGTTTGGAGGTCTTATAGGTAGGCATGGCCCTGGGGATGAGCCCCTTCTGGCCTGTCTGAACGCAGGAAAATCTGTCCCTCATTGGGTCCCTCTTCTCTGTCTCTCTTGAGAGCCAGCTTGTCCAAGGCCCAGGTGACCCATCCAGTCTCAAGATGACTCAGAGATCAAAGGTCATCTCCATGTCTCCAGGGTCTGGATCCAGAAGGTGTTGAGTACATTTGTCAGATGTCTGAGGACATGCTGCACACTCGGAGCCCAAACAGTGGCTTCGGACTATGACTAGCCCCCTCTGCCTGAGTAGCTGAGGTGAGGTCCCTCTCCTCTGGCTATAACTTTGCCTGTAAAATGAAAATAGCACTGGTTCACTGGTGTATGCACATCTGCTGTGAGTATGGCATGGGATGACAGTGGGAGATCAGCTTTAGCGCTTGTGAGGGGCAGTGGGTACAGATACATTATGTAAGCTATTTTCGGTAAGCCATCCAGATGGAACTTGTGGTCCTCCTGGATACTTCCTATAATACCTGCCCCCAGGTGGTGACCTGTAGCCTTGTTACTCCCGCCCCCAAACGTAAGTTTTACCCAGACTAGCACAGAATTCCCCAGGGGTCTTTGTGTCACCTATTAAAAAATTTTTTAATCACTCTCTACAGAATCAAACCCTTGACTTGGCATTCAAGGCCTTGTAGGATCTGGATCCTGAATCCTCATCTATAGCCATTCCTCTGGCAAATCTTCTAGTGACCCACAAGTTACCTTATTCCCTTCCCACATCTGTACTTTTGTATCTGCACCTTTTCCAGCTCAGCCTGGAAGAGAGCCTCAGAGTACTCTCTGCCCTGCCCCCAGTACATTCCTATTCAGTCTCCTGAAACCTTCTCAAACCCCCAGCGATTTAGTCACTTCCTCACTCTCATGTCTACCTGGGAGGGAATGGCATCAGTGGACATCCTCTCTGTTTGGTCGGGTACAGCTGGGTCCAAGAGATGCTGAGATGCCCTGCCCCAGGGATCCCAGTGCAGCAGTGTGGGGTCAGGGAAGGAGTGTCTAGCAGGGTAGTGAGGAGGCTGCCAGACTCTTTGAGTAGGAATTAGGTGGAAAATGGGTCGTGCCCTCTGAGTATGTTCTATGAATTAGGTATTTATACCTGTTTTGCACATGAGGAACCTGGAGCTCAAAGGCTAAGAGACTTGCTGAAGGTCACGCATAAAGAGTGGGATTTGAATCTGAATCTTTACTAGTCAACCTCAGAGTTTTTGCTATCTATGGCAGGTTGCAAATGATGCCCACATTGGACAGATATGTCCCGTCCTCTGTTTGCAGCACACTGTTCTGAGAGGTTTAGGAGCACAGGTTGGAACTGTGGTCTTTCTGTATTCTCTCCCACCAGCCTTGGTGGGACTTTTCTCATCTAGGAGGCCTTGGCCCTGATAGCCCCGTGGAGACTTCCTCCTTCCTCTGGGCCATTGGGGCATATCTCAGATGCTCCCTCTCCTTCTCCATTAGTTCTAAACTTTGGCCCAGAACAACATGTTGCTTACTTGTCTTTTTCTCTCACCTACATTATAAACCTTCATCTCAGGAAGTTTTTGTGTGCTATTTTTTATCCATCCTTCCCTGCCAATACTGTCACTGTGGTACCAGTGATAAGAGCTGCTGTTGATTCTGCCATATATTACAAAGAGGTGAAGACACTAGACTTGGAGAAGTAAAATGGCTCACTCAAGGTCGCACCACTGGAAGAAATAGAATTGGGATTTGAACCAGGCCTTGTCTGTGCTGTGCTTAACACCCTGCTTTGTAGGCACTTAGTAACTGTCTGATGGATTTCCGACCCATACACAGAGTGACCCAGATTTCAGCCAAGTATTTGCCAGAGTCTCTTATGAGTGCCCTGGGGGCTGGAAGAAACATGGCAGGGAGAATCACACCTGGCAGAGGAACAGCCTGGAGACCCTGCCCCCACTCTGCTGAGCAGGCCTCTGCCCCAAGACATTCAGAGTAGCATCTGGGTGTGGCTGGAGTAGAGGGTCAGAGGGCCAGTTAAGTGGATTCATTAGCACAGAGCTAGTGGACAAAGTCCTCAGAGTTCCTCCTCTGCCTTGTGGTCCCATGGGTGATGATAAACCCTTGTGGCCCACCTGCCTATCTCTGCCAGCCACACTCTGTGGTGTCTCCAGCCTTTAGGCCTTTGTTCCCTCTTGCTGGACTGATACCCCTTGCCCTACCCACTTTCTTTGCCTGTACATACTTTCAGATTCCATTTTCACGCCCCTACGTGCACAACTGGGCTCAGACCCTTCTTCTGCTGTGATGGACTTAACCTCAAGAAGATGAAATGTAACCACAAGCTATCAGCAAGGATGCTTTGAGCTACAAATAACAAAAAGCCATGGATGAAACAATAAGAAGTTTGTACTAGTCTGAAGTGATAAGAGGCTATGAGTGGGCTGCTACAGGGCTGAGTGACTTAAAGGGTTGATGAGGTCATCAGGGACCCATGTATTTGGCCACGTAAGGCTTGACACGGTAGCATCCAGTATGATGGCTGGGGGAGCCCTGGGCATCACAGAAGGAAACCCAGCCAGATAAAGGGCTGTTATTTCCAGGGTATCCCTGAGAAAACAGACATCTTCATCTCATTGGCCAGAACTGCGTCACATGAACATGTCTCAGCCTCTCACCAGCATAGGGAATGAGACCATCATGGACCAATCAGGATTCACTACTGAAGGTGGGGCCTGCCACCTAGAGGCTTCTGGCCACAGGATGATGGATGACCCATGGGCTGTGGGTGGTGGCTGGCCATGTGTGTGTGGTGTGACAGAGGCTTCCAGTCCCGTGGCTCACCTGCCTAGGGCAGGCCTGGAAGCTGACTCAAGTATGAGGAGGTGGCTGTGCACAGACAGGTGTGTGACCTCACATGTAGGTAAGTCATGATGCTCCCCGTCTGCCTAGCTTTCCCTAACCCCACTGGACTGTGTAGTACTTATGGAGCAACCTCACTATTAGGGCCAATGCTGCCTGGCCTGGCCCAAGCCTAGAAGTCCAGCAAGGGTTGGGAGGGCTTTGGATTCCAAGGAAATAGTTGGAGGGAGATGTTCAGCCTGGACAAGGGATCTACTTACCTCCCCATGTGTAATAAGGCGCTTTTAGAATTTGGATTTGTTCTCTACAACCCTATAAGGCAAAACTGGGAACAGTGAGGAAGTATACAGCAATAACAGCAATGGTGATAGTAGTAATGGTTCACACTAACAAAGCATTTAGTACATTCCAGGTGCATTTTTAGTTTATTTT